CTGGTGCAATAAATAAGACAGAATCCTCCCTGTCTCTGTCTGCCTGCCCCCATTTATTTGGAGGATGTTTATGCTTTGCTGTTTCGTTTTGTTTTTAGGGGAACTGAGCCCAAGGTCTTAACACTGAACTATATCCCCAACATCCCAGTTCCTTTTTTTTTTTCTTGGTACCAGGGTCAAACTCGGGACCTTGCCCTGTTGCACTTGCCAGGTGGGCACTTATGCCACTGAGCTATCTCCCTGGCCCCAAGTTCCTTTTTAATTTTTTATTTTGAGGCAGAGTCCAGTAAGTTGCCCAAGCTGGGCTGGGATTTGTAACCCTCCCGCCTCAGCCTCCCACAGCTGGGATTATAGGCCTGCACCTCCACAGCTTGCTCAAAAGGGACTCTCTCCTAACTTAATGAGACCCTGTCTCTTAAAGTAAATAAAAAATGGGCTGGGTCTACAGCTCAGTGTGAAGCCCCCAGGAACGTCCACAGTTCCTAGAGGGAAAAAAAAAAAAAATCCAGATATTTCAGAAATAAACCGGGGCTGGGGAGATGGCTCAGTAGAAGAAGCACTTGCCTGGCAAGTGCAAGGGCCTGAGTTCAATCCCGGGTTCCAGAAAAAAAAAAAAAAGTAAACTACATATTCCTAAACAGCCTCTGTATCACAGAAAAATTGAAAAAAGAAATATACATACTTCTAAAAATGACCCAGGAGTGCGATACGCACACATGTGATCCCCTCTAGGCAGAGGATTAAGATACATGACCCAGGCCAGGGATGGCAGTGCACACCTTCTAATCCCAGCGCGCCAGAGCCTGGGACAGGAGGATCCTTGCGAGTTTGAGAGCAGCCTGAGCTACAAAGTGAGCTTGAACTGCATAGCTCACTGGCTCAAAAAGAGAGAGAGAGAGAGAGAGAGAGAGAGAGAGAGAGAGAGAGAGAGAGAGAGAGAGAAATAAAACATACATGACCTAACCTTCCATAGAAAAGGGGTGAGTAAGCTGGGGGCGGCGGCAGGAGGATGACTACAAGTTCAGGCCAGCCTGGGCTATATGGTAAATCCACGTTTAGCCTAGACTACATGTGACCATGTCTCAAAAAAAAAAAAAAAAAAAAAAAAAAAGGGTGGGACCAGGGAGATGGCTCAGTGGAATAAGCGCTTCCCTGGCAAGCGCAAGAGCCTGAGTTCAATCCCTGGTTCCTCAAAAAAAAAAAAAAAAAAAAAAAGCACCCCTCTACCCGCGGGGTGTAGAAACATCGCTACAGGCCTGGTACCAAGGCGCTTAGAGAGATTGTTACCCGAGCTTGTGATTTGGAAGCTGTCTTTCCAAAGGTTGGTGAGAGAGATTGCCCAGGATTTCAAAACCGACTTGAGGTTTCAGGGTGCAGCCACTGGTGCCCTTCAGGAGACTACTGAAGCACACCTGGGGGGCTTAGGGTTTATTTGAAGACGCTAATCTGTGTGCCACCCACGCTGAGTGTCACCATCGTGCCCAAAGCCATCCAGCCAGCCCACCAGATACGTAGAGAGAGCTTAAAGTGAAGGCAATTTTTATGGCAATTTGTAGTAAATTCTGTAAAATACTTTGGTTTAATTTGTGACTTTTTTGGTAAGACATCGTTTATACTGTGGTGCATTTGTACTTACGTCATTCTATCTCTCACTCAGGACGGATGCGAAAGCGACTGTTCGCAGACCCCAGTGGGGTGAGCGCCGCTGCTCAGGAGCGACAAGGTGCTAACATGCAGAAGGGGTGGGGGTACTTCTCGCTGCTCGTGATGCATGTTTCTGTAAGATAATGACCTGCTGGGTAGCTATTAGGGTACTAGAATTGTCCAGGGTCCTTCTGCAATAAATCTAGTTATGACTTGATCCAAGCGTTTCCCATTTGGGGCTGGTACATCTCACCGCACATCACTGTGGTAGAATGGGGGCTTTTTCAAGGGCGAAGACACAAGTCTTAACCACAGTGTAACTTACAGTTTCCTTAAAAAAAAAAAAAAAAGTAAACTTGGCAGCTATAGAATACACTTTGTGTATTTATAATAGCTATTTTATGTATTGTAGTGTTAACATTTTTATTTTTATTTTTATTTTTTTTAATTTATTTTTATTTTTTGTGTGTGTGTGTGTGTGTGTGTGTGTGTGTGTGTGTGGCCAGCTCAGCCCACCAGGGGGCAGGGCTGGCTGGCATGTGGTACTGGGGGATTGAACCGTCGTCCTTGTGCTTTGTTAAGCTTGTTCTAAGTAGGTGCTTTAGACCACTGAGCCATCTCACCAGCCCAACATTTTTAAATTAAATGTTTTACATTCAAAAAAAAAAAGCTAGGAAATGAAAAAAAGAATTACACACCAGATAACTAAATGAATGAGAACCAGGCCTGTGAGATAGCTCAGCGGACTAAGTGCCTGCTTAGGCAAGCACAGGGTCCTGAGTTCAACCGTTGGTATAAAAAAAAAGAAAAAAGAAAAAGGTTAGTCAGGCTTGGTAGCGCACACCTGTAATCCAGCACTCAGGAGGCTGAGGCAAGAGGATTGCTTTGAGTTTGAGGCCAGCCTGGGCGACAGAGTGAGAATCTGTCTACCACTGGGGGTGTAGATTACTGTGAAGCCCCTGGGATCTATCTCTAGTACTACAGGTTTATTGCTATTAATAGTATTAATACAATTCATTAGCCCCTAGTAAGAGTGATCACAAAGAAAGAAAAACAAGTTACCATTGTGAGGAATGAAGTGATCGACATCAGCACACACCCTGTAGATATCCTGAGAACACACAGCATTAATCCAGCAAATCAGATGAAATAGGCAAATCTCTCTCTCTCTCTCTCTCTCTCTCTCTCTCTCTCTCTCTCTCTCTCTGTCTCTTTCTGGTATGGGGGATTGAACTCAGGACCTTGGGCTTGCCAAGCACACACTTCAGCTGCTGAGCTACATCCCTAGCCCGTAAATTTCATTATAATCATACACATGCAGCCAAGTGTGGTGGCACACGTCTGGCGTCCCAGCACTCAGGAGAGCAGGAGGATTCCGTGAGTTTGAGGCCAGCCTGGGCTACATAGCAAGTGGAAGTCACCCTGAACTACACAGTGAGACTCTGTCTAAGTCAATAATAATAAAATAAAATAAAATAAAATATACATATGCTAATTGCAATAAAGAAAACTTTTAAGACTCTGGGAGAATTAAGCCAGGGGGAGAAGTTCAGAGGGGTTTGGAAAGGTTCTCCAGAAATGATATTTAAACTGCAACCTAGGGTCGGGGAGCTAGCTTAGTGACATAAGCGCCTGCCTGGCAAGTGCAAGGTTCCAAATTAGATCCCTGGGACTGCAAAATAAATAAACAAACTAACTGCAACCTAAAGAAGTAGGATTTTTTTTTTTTTTTTTTTTTTTTTTTTAAACCGGAGATTGAATTTAGACCCTTGCCAGGGAAGCACTTATTCTACTGAGCAATCTCCCTGGCCCTCAAGGAGTTAGTTTTTGTGGTTTTCTTTTCTTTCTTTTGTCTTTTTTTGTTTTGTTTTGCTTTGTTTTTTGCAGTACCAGGGATTGAACTCAGGACTTGTGCTTGCCAGGCAAGTGCTTATTCTACTGAGCCATCTTTCCAGCCCAGAAGTAGGATTTAGGTTGATGGAATTGTGTCTCAGGCAGGCCAAAGAGCATGTGCAAAGACCCTACAATGTGAGCGGAGAGGGGCAGGGGAAATAACTCAGCAGTGTAAGCGCCTGCCTGGCAAATGCAAGGACCTGAGTTTGATCCCCAGTACTACATGCCATGTGGCCTGGCACCTGCCGGTCACCAAAACTGGTCACGATGTCACACATCTGTAATCCCAGTGCTGGGAGGCTGAGACTGGAGGAGCACTATGAGTCCAAGCTGCGTAGTGAGACCTGTACCAAATAAATAAATAAATAAATAAATGATTTTAAAAATAGACCCCGCAATGGGAATGAGTTTTGTCCAGGGGACGTGGTCCGCTTGTGTGCTGCCCCTGTTGCTCCACCAGCCTTTTCAGTGGAGAGCCCCAGGGAGTCCTGGTTGGCTTGAACAGAAACATTACGTGGATGGAAGCAAACCTTCCTGTGAGACAGAGGCATGGAAGTCCCTATGCCCTTGCCCGGCAATGTACCCTGCAAACTAATGATTCCTTCAAATATAAACCTGCTGCTCCTTTCTTCCCTCTAGCTGCCCGTTGGAGGGCTCACAACAGTCTAAGAATGTTTTTGTTGTCGTTTTGTTTTGCTTTTTTCAGATAGGGTTTTGCTAAGTCGTTGAGCTGTCTGGGAGGCTGCGCCCCAGCTTCCCATCCTCCTGCCTCAGCCTCCCAGTGTGCCGGGATCTGGACCTCGCCCCCGTGCTTCTTTGAGCGGTGCGTCTCATGCCTCATTTCTTTGTCCCTAGTGTCCAGTACTGTTCATCTCATTCTCCAGAGCAGCTAGCGGATGCTTCTGAAAAGTCAGGGCTTGGGCTGGTGAGATGGCTCAGTGGTCTAAGGCACCTACTTAGAACAAACTAAGCTAAACAAAGCACAGGGACCGCAGTTCAA